AATTCGCACTATCTCACTCTCGAGACGTTTGCCTGTCATTGTTTTTGTCCTAATTGGTGTGCGACCGCTCGAGCCAATATACCGCCGAAAATACGTGTGAGGCGTCCATTTTTCTATTCTGACCAATTCGAGCGGTAATTCTTCTAACACCTGTGTCTCGCGCGCCAACTCGTGGGTTGATATCGGTAGTTATAGACTCGTAATAAGTAATATAGATACAAATATGAAATATCTATTAAATTAATTTATATAGTATTTGCATCATTTTAACAATAATGATCTTATAGACTTCCAAGAGAAGATACGAAAGCTGTACCTAAAATGTTTCAATAACTAATTATAATATATTTAAATGTAGAACTAAATAGTCCTTACATAAAACATTTAATATATTTGTCAGTACACTATTATCCCAAAAACTATGAGTGCTATTTATCTTCACTGTTCTCGATAAAAAGAGAAGAAACCAGAAATTGCCCCGACTTTTTCGGATGAACTGTACTGCTAAAATTAGTTGTACGTTTGCAGACGCCTACAGACGCCAACAGCAATGTAAGGGTTAATCCGATAGATGAGAAATGAATGAACTATTACTGTACGAGGTCAAATAATCTACTCGTTTCCCGTTCTCGGAACGTTTCTGTGTAGAGCAACCGGCAAATCCTCGTTCGTAGTTATCGATTTTAAAGCCGACGATGCACTTCAAACGATACTCAGAATCAAACGATTGATCAGTTTTTTCACTGATGTTTACTGCTGAATCGATGATGTTTCCGCTTTTCTACTCACCCATCAATAGGCCCATATTCCCTGACACTTTCCCCGATGATGGTACAGAGCCTAGATCCTCGGGCAAATCCCCGCTGCGCAAAAGTGTAATACAACGAAATTCAAACGTTCTGTTTAACCCTTTACACTCAGAAGATTTATTTTGTCATTTGAAATGTCTTTTGAGAGGACAATCGAGTGCAAAGGGCTGAAGATACTGCTATCGATATATAATTTTCTAGCAATATTTTATTGAGGGTTACTGATATATCGATAATAATTTTAAGTCTGTTATTGCAAAAAATTATAAATAAACAGTATAATCATTTTTGGCTATTTCTTGTTTTAATAATATTTGTTACAATTTTTTTTTGGCAATAAGTAATGTTCAGGTAGGCTCTGTTATTTGCAAAATTTGCAATTTATGTTATTTGTGATTTGTAAATTGCTTTTAAATTTATTGCTGACGGAATGTTGTCAGTCAACAGTGACGGACATGGCTTGAATGAAAAATGTACTATTCATCGCCGGTGACGTGGCGATCAATGTGATGAGGATATTGTGAAAGCCAGCTGGAGATATACTTTGGGCCGTACGAATATAGCGGATTCTGTGATCAAGAAATGCATACAGATGCATACAAATAACATAGGGATATAAGAATATAAGAATCTAGAGATGTAACTATGGAAATAGGGATTTAGAGATGAACCAATTTAGGGATCTGCAGATCTGATGATCTAAATATGTAATAATTTATAAATTAATAGATAAATAAGTTTACAATTAACTGTGAATAATAAAATTTTGTATGAAGATATGTTAGATTTGAAGTTTAAATGAGAGAAAATGTATCAAAATGATCAAGTTTTAAGTTGCGTTTAATTTGAAATTTACATAAAATGTATTATCGGTATTATGTATAGTGTTATAAATATTCATCGATAATATTATCGATAGCAGCATCCTTTATATTTACAAGGTGCGTCAAAATAATATTTAACCAGCATTTTTAGCAACAACAATGTTTCACGAATAATACATAAATGTTAAAGAAATTATATGAATAAAATAACAGGAATTTGAAATTTTCTCTATATTATTAATTTTAATGCAGTAAAAATTATTGCAGAAAATTTTTAGAGAATTAATTTTACCATTTTTGATACAAATACAAAACTTTGCCTTTCAAGAACATATGGTTTCGTTATGAAAAAAAGAATAGTGACAATTGAATTACAAAATAACTTATATAAAATAAGATAAATTAACGTAAAAGACTTAAAAATCAACAAACCCAGTGTTTTTTAGTATCAATTAATAAGAGAAACGCGCTATCATAATCTTCACAATAAAGTCACACTATAAAATTAAAATGTACATTAAACTAGAAAAAATCTTAGAAATATTAAATATGATCTCCTAACACTAAATTAATAAAATAAAATTAATTGATTTATTTGGAACATCTATAAAAATCTGAACACTCTCATTCTGAAATACAATTAACGTCTTTTTATAAACTTACGAATAGTAAATTATAACACAATAGATGATAAATAATTAGTGAATAACTACTTTGAAATAACTTTGATTAAAAGTTGAAAGATAAATGAGCACTCAAACCATAAAAGACACGGCGCCTTTAAAAACAACCTCTAGAACTTTTTCACACTCGGAATAGCGTGTGAATTAAAAATAACTGAAGGAGTCATAAAAGCAGTAATTATCAAAGAATTAAGCAAAAGTAAAGTACGAAGGAATTCTTGCAAAAATGTTCTGCAATTAGCTGATGAACATCGTTATCTAGTTTATTGCATCTGAATTAGTAAAGATGGAAACATATGCGTCCAACACATGCGTCCAACACATGTGTCCAACACATGCGTCCAACACATGCGTCCAACTGAAAGGCAAAGTTCATAGTTCATGGATAAAAACATTTTCAATGTCCACACGTTTAACGCCATAAACATTATATTATTTAAAATTATTTTTTATGATCTATGTAAAATTCTTCGGCATCTTTTTATCTATGCTAGCTTTATTATCTTGTCGCACCTTGTAGAAACCTGTCCAGAGTATTCCTGATCAGAAATATCTTTTTATGGTTTAATAGAACAATTTACAATAAATATTAGAACAGTAATAAAACTATAAAATTTTGCTAGGTCACAAAATATGTAAAATAGAAAAATTTGGAAATACAAATTGTCCGTAATAGCTGCAAAAGCGGATTATTCACGAATATTCCAAAAAAGAAAGATAAACTTGGTTTTACGATTTTAAGAGTCACGACACATTTTCAGCAACAATATTATTTTTCTATTTTATTGCAATAAATTGTGAAAGATAGCGCAGAAGGCAGTTACAAGGATAAACTGAACAGATCTTTTTCTAATGACATTTTACACTTCCTTCCATTTTTCACGTGGTACTTACGTGTCGGCAGCATGTTCGACAAGCAACTCGACCACATCTTCGCCACGCTCGGTTATCTGAGCCACTTCCTCGAAACTTCGATCCACCAAAGACACACCGCCCCATTCTAACACCTGCAAAGAAAATTTAAGGTCTTCTCACTCGAATTTCTTAATGAACTTTTGCATATTGACACATTATGTTATTACGAAAAAGTTCGTCGAGGAATAAGTTTTCTTGTTGAAGTTCGTTAAAGTCTGATGGGGACACTGGGTGGTCCTTGTAATTAAGAACCTCCCTGTTACAAATTTTATTTAACTTTTTCTTTCTACTCTGTACTGGAAGATGGTAGATACTTTTACTATAATTTAGCAAGTTTTTACACCTTTTCTGTGTTATATATCTGTGTAATATTATTATACTACAAATCGTGCATTTATGATATATTGAAGCAAACATAAATTATTGTACACATTGTGGGTGTATTACACAATTTTTTATGCAGTTTGAAAACATTTTTATTTATATAAAAATATTATTTTATAATTATTTATATACAATTTTACGATTATATATATACTGATATTAATTTATAATTATTAAGATAATATTATTTTATGTTACATAAGATATTTAAACAAATTATATCATAACATAATTCAATTAGAACCTAGAAAACTTGAAATATTCTGTATATAGTGGTACACAAAAAAGAATTTGATTTACGTATGATTATGTTTGGTCGAATAATAAACAGGATAAAATAAGATCATATGTTAATAGAATCCGTGCGATTTCACGGAATGTAGCTTTCTAACCGAGGTTTACGATTGTGTCAGGTTTCCGGTGCGCACAGCTGTCGATAACTTAATTAAAATCACAGCTGGAGAGAATGGTTGTCGATACTCGCACGCATTAACCGCTTACAATAACGTTACCCACTTAACAGTGGACGCACGTTGCCAGGATATTCTCTTGATTTCAATTGATATTTAAATGGCTATCAAATATTTTAGAGCGCGAGTAATTAAATTCTAGCTCGCAACAGGCGATAAACGAACCCAACAACACGCATTAGGGGCGCAGAATCAGTCTTTATGGGACATAAAACAAGTCCTCAACCTATTAGTTACATGAGACTATAACTTGTCAAGTTGTAAATTAGAGTGTAACCTGTCATGTTACGAAATAAACTAATAACCTCTCAGGTTGTGGAACAAGTTCTAAACTTGTCAGGTTATAAAACAGATCAATAATCTCTTAGGCTGTAAAATGGTTTGTTAGGTTATGAAGTGTGTCCATAAACTGTCATGTTACAAAATAAGTTAATAACTTGTGAAATTATGAATAAGTCCTAAACGTTATGAAACAGATGAATAAGCCAAGCTGTAAAATAGGTATACATCTATTAGGATACAAAATAGAACTGTAAACTGTCATGTTACATAATACATGATTAATTTGTTAGGTTATGAAACAAGTCCTGAACTTGTCAGGTTATGAAACAGATCTATAATCGCTCTGGCTGTAAAATAGGCCTGTAATCTGTTACATTATAAAATAAATTGTAAACTGTCACATCACATAATAAATTATTAATTTGTTGGTTACGAAACAAGTCCCAAACTTGTCAGGTTATAAAATAAGTCCCAAACCTGTCAAGTTACAAAATAAGTCCCAAACTTGTCAAGATACAAAATAAGTCCTAAACTTGTCAAGTTATAAAATAAGTCCCAAACTTGTCAAGTTATAAAATAAGTCCCAAACTTGTCAAGTTACAAAATAAGTCCTAAACTTGTCACGTTATAAAATAAGTCCCAAACTTGTCAAGTCATAAAATAAGTCCCAAACTTGTCAAGTTATAAAATAAGTCCCAAACTTGTCAAGTTATAAAATAAGTCCCAAACTTGTCAAGTTATAAAATAAGTCCCAAACCTTTCAAGTTACAAAATAAGTCCTAAACTTGTCACGTTATAAAATATGTCCCAAACTTGTCAAGTTATAAAATATGTCCGAAACTTGTCAAGTCATAAAATAAGTCCCAAACTTGTTAAGTCATAAAATAAGTTCCAAACTTGTCAGGTTATAAAATAAGATCATATACTGTCAAGTATAAAATCTATGATGTGTTAGGTTATAAATCTACAATCTCCCAAATTATAAAATAAGTCTATGAACTGTCACATTACGATATAAATTAATAACTTTTCTCGATACTAAATAAGTCTTAAACTTCTCAGATAACAAAACTGATCAATCATCTCCTGACTGTATAAAATAAGTCTATAATCTATCAAGTTGTAAAATGAATCTACGAACTGTCAGGTTATGAAATAAATCTGTGAACTGTTAGATAATAAAATAAATCTATAACCCGTCGAGTTATAAAATACGTCGATAACCTATCAGGTCATGAAATGTGTCTATAACTATCAAGTTATAAATGAATCGGTAAAATTTTATTAAATAAAATAAATCTAATACTCTGGCATACTATGAAATGAATCGATAGCTTCTTTAAAATAGAACCTGGTTATGATTGTCTTTATCTAAGTGCAAGCTAACGTGATTATAAAATCACAGTTTCTTTATTCAAGTTTATTAATTTGATTTTCTTCAGGTGGCGCCGGAAGAGGATCAGTTTTATCTGCAGGTAATTCGATATAGAAGCCATTTTTAGTATGAGAGTCAATATTTTTGTTAGACGTATGATAAATTTGTCTGATGTTAATATTTAAGTTTAAAATTTAATTATATTACTTTATTGTAATTGTATTAAATTCAAGATTTAATTGTATTGTTCTCATGTGATCACAGTATGCAAATTTAAAATTTAATCATATTATTTTGGTCAAATTGAGGTACTTAAATCAAAGATTTAATTATATATTTTAAATTATTACACTGGAACTTATTTTTACATCTAATGTAAGTGTATCAGAACAACTCAATTTTTCCGACGGTGAATACGCACAGTTTATTTCAATTATTATATAACACACGTATTATAATTTAGTCTGCGAGTGACATCAATATTACAATCAAAGCCGAAATACTTGATCCCGCAACGAAAGTCTTTGCAAAATACAAGTAAAGTCCGTAATGAC